CTGGCACACAGCCCAGAGCACCTGGGGATGTGATTGTGACCCCTGGAGCAAGTTGCCAGCTTTGTATGAGGACCTGAAAGTCACAGAGGTTCAAATAGTATAACAATAAAATGATCACAGGGTGAAAATGTAGATTTTAGGATTTTTGCTATGGGGGTTATGGGGATAAGATGGAGAAATCTGGGTGTGTCCAGCCTTTCCTCTTCTTCTTGTTCTCCATTTTCTGCAGTGATGTTGGCACTTTGGGATTGGTTTAGAGTAGAAGTGCAGTGTCTAACACAGGTGATGGGTATTGGGAATTAAGTGTAAATATGTTATACATAGTTTGTAGTATAAAAGGACAACACAGAGTGCCTGTGGCTGCCCTGCTGAGCAGATCTCAGCTGGGCAGAAAGAAAATTTTATAGATAAGAATTAATAAACAACCTCAAGACCGAAAAGTGAAGAGTCCAGACTCATTCTTCAGTTGCATGGGTTGAAACAGAGACAGAAGCAGAGACACCCTGCACATCTGGGGCAGCAATCACCAACCAAAACCTGAGCACACGGAGCACCAGGAGCACACTGAGAGCTGTGTCCCACACCAGAGGGCTGTGGGACACCAATCACCGAGTGCAGGACGTAGTTTTGCAGCAGCTGAGGGTTTAGGAAGGGCTTTCCCAGGTCATCCATCCCTCCCCACCCTGCAGTGGGGAGCAGAGAGCCAAAGGCCAAGCCTGGAGCTGCTGCTCCCTCACTGGGCACGAGGAGACATCGCCCTGCCCTGCCCTGCCCAGCTGGGATGGGGAAAGGATCCCTGGGGAACTCACCCGAGCTGAGCCAGGAGCACAGGACATTTACAGTCCCTGTGGAACCTGTTCTGCCAGCCAGGCTGTTTTACCCCAAACATCTCCTTTGTGGGGGGGAAAATGCCTTGCTTCATTTTCAGCACCCTTTTCCCTTTATTTGTGAAATACCTGCACACAGCCCTGGCTGGCAGGAGGTGAGGAAAGCAAATCCCCCCAGGATTTATGGCTGATGGAAGGCTGGGAGAGCAGAGTTGTATCTCCAGCTATTCCCAACATCCC